ATATATATATCTATATAGATATATATATATATTATTATCGTTATTATTTCTTTTATATTCTGATGGCGGCCGCTGTAAAAAAAAAAACAGAAAGGGCACCTCCCTGAAATGAGACGGGCACCTCCCTGAAATAAGGTTTTGCAGGTTGGGATGTCTGGATAGGCTGTGAAATAAAACCATTTGCAACCAACAACAATTAGGAAATATGCCTTGCACAAAATGCGCAGCCCGTTATGACTGTAGTGGATGTAAAGAAGCTTCAGGACACACAGCAGCATTGTGATGTAAATTGTTTCCCTTCCCCCACCCCAAGTTCCTCAATATACATAGCATTTTGTTACCAAAAGGACATTTAGTGGGGGTTTACCTCTAGATCAGAGACCAGTGCCTACAAGCCCTACAATGATATGTACGCCATCAGCAGCATTCTCTATGCTTTCCTTGTCACAGCTAAGCACATTGACAATATGGCTGCTGGGAACCCAACCTTTTATAGCGAGGGGGCTGACTTATTTAAACTCCCCCTTATTGTCCCTTTTAGGCCATCTGACCAAAAGTTAGGAACTTCATTATTGGTAGTTGGTTGCTATGGTGGAAAAATCACATATTAATTTGCCAGGTTTGGGAACTGCAAATTGGTTGGGTTCACCTCAGGCCCATGGTCAACCTGAACTTGAAACTCATCCCCAGTTAACAAGTTATTCAGCTGTATTACATAAACAATTAGCACTGTCCCAGGTTCAGCCGCAGAGACCCTTTAGCATGCATTTTTAGGTACCAATGAAATTCATCGGACATTCCGTGAAATCCAGATTTCGGAAGAACATTGTCATAATAGTGATGGGGGATCCAAACTCCATCAAGGTCTTCAGAAAAGGGCCAGAATCCATAGAGCGTCACGTTCTCACACACCTCGGCTGCCACGCTCACCAACATGAGGCCAGAAGACAATCTCCGAAACTTGAGCCCCATACCTCTCCAGTAAGCATGCAGTTGCCGGAGGTAGTCCGGGTTAAAGAAAACAACTGTGCTGTTCATACCGAAGTCTTCAATAGTGTAAAGCGCCCGATAAGAGACCTCTGTGTTCATCGAAAATGAGAAAGCTGGTAGGAGGATCAAGGAGGAGCCATACTCCTTCATCATCGTGATAAATGGTTTCCTCTGCTCCCTGAGACTCCTGAACCTAATGGAGGAGACATAAACAACTGCACTTAAAGGGAATATCCATCTTCAAACCACTTTCTTTCCCTTTCAAGCTCATATATTTTTTTTTAGATGTTCTTTATGTAGAAAAAAAGTTGTAGTGTGAAAATACAATGAAACAGACCCCCAGCCATTTGTCATTGGTGGTGGAAAAGTGGTTGAAATCTGCTACCTTGCAGTGTAAGGGCCCTGTGTTCAACACACAATAGTGTACAAGCTATCAAGGGTGTAACTTTAGCACAGTGAGGGCATAGTCCTGTCCTATTCCACAGCCATGAATTTCTATATTACTGGGAATGAGTATTCTGTGTCACTAGAGATACTGACTTGGAGATAAAGGTTAGGGAACAGGGGCCCCTTAATTGTCTGTCTGTGGGCCACATCATACATGCCCCTTGCTAGCTACATTGCTAGCTACATTGCATTTGTGCCATCTAACTATGGGTGCTCCAGTTTAAAAGGATGACACCCACAACAAAGTATATGAATTAATATAGCCGGGTTGGAACTGGTAAACTGGACCTGGACTCAAAAAGTGAAGATCTGCTGTTGTAAGAAATGTCTAGAAGTTAATTGTGCCGAAGAATTGCCCTGAAAAGTGTGACTTTTTTTTCTTCTAAAATATAACAGTGCCTTCCTGAGACTTATTGTTGTATATCTGCAGTGTGAGATCATCTAAGGTGCTGCTGCGCCTCATCAGATCTGAAGTGATATTTGGGGATGTCACTGAGAGGGGGAGATGGAGAGAGAGAGACCCCAAAATACTGACAGATTCTGGGCCTATACAGACTAACTTCACACAGCCCAAAAACTGAAAGCGGACAACACACACAGAGACAGAGGAGAGGAAAGAGAATAGGAAAGAGAAGAGGAAAGAAGAGGAAAAAGGAGAGGAAAGAGGAGAGGAAAGAGGAGAGAAAAGAGAAGAGGAAAGAGGAGAGGGAAGAGGAGAGGAAAGAGGAGAGAAAAGAGAAGAGGAAAGAGGAGAGGGAAGAGGAGAGGAAAGAGGAGAGAAAAGAGAAGAGGAAAGAGGAGAGGGAAGAGGAGAGGAAAGAGGAGAGAAAAGAGAAGAGGAAAGAGGAGAGGGAAGAGGAGAGGAAAGAGGAGAGAAAAGAGAAGAGGAAAGAGGAGAGGGAAGAGGAGAGGAAAGAGGAGAGAAAAGAGAAGAGGAAAGAGGAGAGGGAAGAGGAGAGGAAAGAGGAGAGAAAAGAGAAGAGGAAAGAGGAGAGGGAAGAGGAGAGGAAAGAGGAGAGAAAAGAGAAGAGGAAAGAGGAGAGGGAAGAGGAGAGGAAAGAGGAGAGAAAAGAGAAGAGGAAAGAGGAGAGGGAAGAGGAGAGGAAAGAGGAGAGAAAAGAGAAGAGGAAAGAGGAGAGGGAAGAGGAGAGGAAAGAGGAGAGAAAAGAGAAGAGGAAAGAGGAGAGGGAAGAGGAGAGGAAAGAGGAGAGAAAAGAGAAGAGGAAAGAGGAGAGGGAAGAGGAGAGGAAAGAGGAGAGAAAAGAGAAGAGGAAAGAGGAGAGGGAAGAGGAGAGGAAAGAGGAGAGAAAAGAGAAGAGGAAAGAGGAGAGGGAAGAGGAGAGGAAAGAGGAGAGAAAAGAGAAGAGGAAAGAGGAGAGGGAAGAGGAGAGGAAAGAGGAGAGAAAAGAGAAGAGGAAAGAGGAGAGGGAAGAGGAGAGGAAAGAGGAGAGAAAAGAGAAGAGGAAAGAGGAGAGGGAAGAGGAGAGGAAAGAGGAGAGAAAAGAGAAGAGGAAAGAGGAGAGGGAAGAGGAGAGGAAAGAGGAGAGAAAAGAGAAGAGGAAAGAGGAGAGGGAAGAGGAGAGGAAAGAGGAGAGAAAAGAGAAGAGGAAAGAGGAGAGGGAAGAGGAGAGGAAAGAGGAGAGAAAAGAGAAGAGGAAAGAGGAGAGGGAAGAGGAGAGGAAAGAGGAGAGAAAAGAGAAGAGGAAAGAGGAGAGGGAAGAGGAGAGGAAAGAGGAGAGAAAAGAGAAGAGGAAAGAGGAGAGGGAAGAGGAGAGGAAAGAGGAGAGAAAAGAGAAGAGGAAAGAGGAGAGGGAAGAGGAGAGGAAAGAGGAGAGAAAAGAGAAGAGGAAAGAGGAGAGGGAAGAGGAGAGGAAAGAGGAGAGAAAAGAGAAGAGGAAAGAGGAGAGGGAAGAGGAGAGGAAAGAGGAGAGGAAAGAGGAGAGAAAAGAGAAAAGAGAAGGGGGAAGAGGAGAGGAAAGAGGAGAGGAAAGAGGAGAGGACCACTACACATTCAAAACAGACATTGTTATGTCCTTTGCTTACACTGCTTGACAAAGCATTAAGCTGACCATACACTGTTAGATTTTTTTTTTGTGCAGCCCAAAAACAGATTCCACCATCCATGCTAAAGTCTGTGTAATCTCCCACTGAGCTATTTTATTCTGACAGCGGGGGTGTGCCGTATCAGTGGCTCTGGACAGCATCCCACCCAGCTCCTGAGCAGTGACTTCACTGGTTGCCAGGAGCTGAGCTTGATGCCTTCCAGAGCACCCCATGTTGCTAAGAACTGGGTGGGGAGATGTGTATGATCCTTACATATCTCTCTGTCCAGCTTTTAGAAACATGGGACTCTCTGCCCGGAAAGGGGGCGACAGGTGCACTGCCAAGCCGTCTCTGCCAGCCACCCCTTCCCCCCCCACATGACCCAAAGAGACCCTGAAGCAACCGCCTCAGGCTGCCTTATTATGGGAATGGCCCTCGGCAGAATACTCAATTGGCAGAGAATTTTCCATCTGATTCCTCCCATTTTATGATTGAAAGATGTTGGTTGGAAGGCTGCCAATAGGGTCACCCGCAGAGGAAATTTTGTTGAGTTCTTGATGAGAATGTGTATGGCCAGCCTTAGTATTGTCAGTACTAAAGAAAGGTAGGCATCTACAATAAAGGTTGCTGAAATCCAATGTAAAGCTGGCCATACACCAGTAGAATCTCATATTTCATATAAGGAAGACACGGCACTCACTTGTTAATTAGGATGCTTGGGTTTGCCGTGACAAGATCGGTCTTTGTCCCCACATCATCCACCGAGTACAGCGGAGGCAAATTTAACCTACAAAGACGTAAAGGAAAGATATGAGGATTGAGGAGGCGTAAATGCTAAGCCATGATATCAGTAAGCACATCTCATCAGCTGTTCCTTACCTGATCACAAAGTCAGCCCGGTCAATCTCAATGCCGCAATAGCTGTTGTTTAAAATTCCACCATTACCCACCACAGCGCAGTCTTTTAGTGGTTTCTCGAAATGAGACTTCTGCAATGAAAGACATATGAGACTTTGTCTTCAAATGTGCCATGTTACATTAATAGACAGTTGGATAAATGGCTCTATATTTAGGATGTATCTGGTCCATAAATGGTGGCGTTGGATGGACAGTTGGATAAATGGCTCTATATTTAGGATGCTGCTTGTCTCATTTTGTCTGGTCCAGAATGCACTGGGACTGCAGGCAAGTTCACCCCATTTCTGGACCATTTTCCTGACCAGTTCTCTGAAATATCGCTGCACACGCCAGAGTGAGAGCAATAGTTCTAGGGCCAGTATTTACACGTATCTCAAAACTGATGACCTGTGGGGGCTTTTAAAGCATTGTCTATAGACCTTTTGGGGTACTGAATTTTGTCACCGTTTCACAGACTCATACAATTTCTCACTTGGGCATGTTGGGTATCTATGTGCTCAATGTAACCTCATCTTTTATATTTTATTTAAAAGATGGTCTCATATAGTGTTTTGGGGCACTAAATGTAACTTAAGTGCATTTTTCACAAGATTTGGGGGTTTGATAATAAGTTGCGCTAATATCGTGCAACATAAACATTTGCAGCTGCTACCATTGTATTCAACAGGGTCTCGGCTTTCAGAAAATATATAATGTTTGGGGATTTGAAGTAATCCTCAGGCATAAAATGTGGCTTATAACAAGGGTGCAAAAAATAATGTAAAAAGGCCTCGTTCATTAAGTGGTTAATGTCAGAGATCTGGCTATGTTGTCTGCTCTCTGACAAGGGTACATA